GCAGCAGCTCCTTTCGCATGCAGAGCGACTTCATAGCTTCTCCTAAACAACTACCCCGTCCCCCTTCTCCTGCTGCTCCTGCTGCTGCTGCTGCTGCTGCTGCTGGTGCTGGTGCTGCTGGTGGTGGTGGTGGTGCTGATATATTCGTCGCTGGTGAGGATGGTGTTGCTGCGCGTGCGTTTGATGAGCTGCTGGAGGCAGCAAAGGGGGAGCGGTTGTCTGCTATAGATAAAGAAAAACCTTTTATTGTTAGTGGCAGTGAAGACGGCTGTATTTATTTCTGGGATGTTTTGGCTGCAGCCAGAGCTGTACATACACCCCAACAAGGTGTATGGGGGCGCGCGCATGAGGCGCCTGCACTCATAGTTAAAACTGATACTCTGTCGCAGCGGCTGTGTACAGCAGCAACAGATGGAATCGTTAAACTATGGAGGCAGCTCTAGTGCTGCAGGAGCAGCAGCAGCAGAAGCAGCAGCAACTAGGCATGCAGAAACAGCAACAGCAGCAGCAGCAGCAGGTGGAGAACGTGGAGGAGCAGCAACAGCTTGGCTGCAGTAGATGCAGCAGCAGCAACAGCAACAGCAGCAGCAACAGCAACAACAGCAGCAGCAGATCTAAAGAATACTGCTCAACAAAGAAAAGTAATAAGAGACCTGCGTCGAAGATAAAACAAATACGCAAATTAAATAAACACAGAAAGTCAGAAGAAGACGAGGAGCAGAAGGGAAGGGGTGGGTTTGGGGGTTTTATAAATATGTTTTTCTTGCTTTCTATTTATTCATTTTTTTGTTGCGTTGACTTTTTATTTCCTCTGAAAGCTCTATTTATTTATTCATTTACTTTGTTGTTTGTTATACAAACACTATTTTATTTTTTTCTCGGTTTGGTTATTTCACTAGTTTGTTACTTATTGTAGCTACCCTCGTAGAGAGCTCGGCGGCACCGGCGCACGGGTACAGTGTAGTATAAAAATAATAATAATAAATTGAATTAAACGGCTTAATTTAAATATAAATTTGTGTTTATTTTTTTAAACAAACGAATGAGGAGAGTAAAACAGCAGAAACAAACGAATGCCGTCTGAATCGTTGCTGGGCGCGGTCGATGCTGCGCTCGAAAGTACTAACCCGCAGAAATGATGCACCGTTTGACGCGGAAACTGCCAAAATATTTATAAACTAATAAAAACAAATAAATATAAAACACCTCCGTCAAAAAAAAACTGAAATTATTCATGATTTTGTCGCTTTTTGGCTTGCTGGTGCCGCCGCCGACTCGAACCGGTCGGTCGCTGGTCACTACCCTCATCGGCTACCGCAGTTCAGGTTTTTTGTGTTTCTTTTTCTGTATTTTTGTTTCTTTTTGAATTTAATTTGTTTATGTGTCTGATCATCAAAGCTGAGTTTTATTTTTATGTGATATTTCCTCAGCTTTCCGGTGTTTTCGTGCGCCGTCGACTCGACACCTGGACGCCCGCCGCCCCGCTTGCAATTCCTCTTTCTTGCGAAACACAAGCGGAAACCGGAGAAGAAAAGCACTTCTTCAGTTGAATTTAATTATTTTATTTGAATATAAACAACAATTTACTCTTTTTTTTAAGTTAAATCTTCAGAGTTCGCTCAAGGAAGTTCGATTGCAAGGTCGGCGGTGGTGAGCCACCACCACAGCCGTGGTCACCGCATCATATCTCTTCTGTTTCGCCTTCATCAAACCAAAAATTTTTATATAAAAAGGAATAAACGTAAAGTATTTAAATAAAATAAAACAAATTAAGCAGTTGAAGGCGAAATACATCGCAAAACACCCAGCAGCCACCGCCGCTGCTGCTGCATCGCCTNAATTAAGCAGTTGAAGGCGAAATACATCGCAAAACACCCAGCAGCCACCGCCGCTGCTGCTGCATCGCCTCTATCTAGACTCTGTGTTTCTGTACGGGGGCCTCTTTGTTTCTTTTTCAGCTGTCTGTACACCTCAACGTTTCCTTTCTGTTCTTTTTAGTCGCTTCTAAAATGAATTTTTCCACATATTACGAATACCACCAGGGGTTGGGGGGGGGACCGCCGCTTGCTGTCTTTGCTGCAGCAGCAGCAGCAGCAGCAGCAGCAGGTCTTCCCGCTCCTCCCCTGAAGCCCCCTCCCCTTCGTCTGCATTCAAGGCAACGCCTGCGTGTTGCTGCTGCTGCTTTATCTCTTATTTTGTTGGCGCTTTCCTTTCTTCGGCTGTATCTACACTGCTTCGAGGCTGCTGTTCCGGCCGTATGTTCTGTTGCTCTCCTGCTGCTGCTGCAGCAGCACAGCAGCAGGAGACATCCCGCTGCAGCAGCAAAACAACGGCTCGTTGCCCTCGCAGGAGCCTGGGCTTTTGCGGCCTTCTTAGACAGCACGACTGTAGCAGACTACTTGTTCATTCCGGAGCCAACAGCAGCAGCAGCAGCAGCAGCAGCAGCAGCAGCAGCAGNCGGGGGAGGGATCAATCAGCAACAGCATCGAAATACTCCTTATGCCGCTTGCGGGGGCATCGTTCCTCGCCTCTGCTGCTTTGCTGCTGTGCAGCAGTTTGCTGCTGCAGCCTGTTAAAGCTCATCTGCTGCAGGGGCCCCACAACCCAGAGGAGGGGCCCTGTCCTTCTGTTGCTGTTGAAGTCCGAATGCGAGGAGACGAGGAAACAACGCCGCTGCTCTCTCTTGCTTCTGCTGCAGCGCGAGGACTACGACCAGCAGCAGCAGCAGAAGTCGCAGCAGCAGCAACAGCAGCAACAGCAGCAGAAACAGCAGCAGAAACAGCAGCAGCAGCAGCAGCAGCAGATTCAGATTCAGGTCTCTCTCCAACTGTGTACTTGTCACCAGCTGAAGCAAA